AGCCTCCCCCAACCCACCCCCCATTCCCTCCTACAAGAAGGTAAGGCCTTCCATGAAGAGTCAGCAGAGCCTGGTACATTCAGTAGAGGCAGGTCCAAGCCCCTTCCCCTGCGTCAAGGTACAGCCACTTTCAAGTCTAATGTGTGTGGGGGTGGGGGAGGATGTACATGTGTCTATGTGTATTTGTGTGTGTGCTGTGTCTGTGTCTGTGGATGTATGTGTATATCTGTGTGTATTGTGTGTATTGTGTGTATGTGTATGTGTGTGTTTGTGTTGCTATGGACTGAACCAAGGCCTAACTAGCTAAGCACTGTGCCTCTGAACACTCTCCCTAACCTTTTTCTTACTCTTTGTGATAGGATCTCACTAAGTTGCCTTGCTTCAGCGTCTCTGGTAACTGCCCCTTATTTAGCCACTTAACACATATTTGGCAAGAATTTTCTACAGTTGAGATACCATACAGGGCCTTAAGCTTCCAAGGCTACGCCTATCTGACACTGGCACACAAGGATTTTTGAATGTTAAAAATGTTAACAGTGTAAAAGAGTTGGAGACAGCCCCTGTTCCCACTGTTTTGAGTCCCACAAGGGGACCAAGCTACACAACTGTCGCATGTATGTAGAGGGCCTAGGTCAGTCCCATGCAGGCTCCCTGGTTTTAGGTTCAGTCTCTGTGAGCCCCTAGGAGCCCAGGTCAGTTGATTCTGTGGATTTTCTTGTGATGTCCTTGACCCCTCTGGCTCCTACAATCCTTTCTCCCCCTCTTTTTCATGATTCCCCCAACTCTGCCTAAGGTTTGGCTGAGGGTCTGCACCTGTTTCCATCAGTTGCTGGATGAAGTCTCTCTGGTGACAGTTGGACTAGGCATCAATCTGGTCACAGGAGTTGGCCAGTTCAAGCTACATATCTGCTATTTCTAGGAGTCTAAGCTGGGGTCATCCTTGTAGATTTCTAGGAGATTCCCTTGTGCCAGGATTTTACCTGACCTTGAAATGCCCCCTCGTTCCAGTAGTCTCTTTCAGTACTCTCCTCCTCCATGCACCTTCCTGCAACTGGATTGCTCACGTTTCCATCACCTCCTGCCCTCAGTCCACTCATGAAATCTATTTCCCCTTCCTAGGGATATCTGGGTGTCCCTTCCCCCCGCCCCCCATGAACTCTCCTTGTTACCTAGCTTCTCAGGGGCTGTAGATTATAGCATGGTTACTCTTTATTTTACAGCTTCTATCCACATATGAGTGTGTACACACCATTTTTGTCTTTCTGGGTCTGAGTTACCTCACTCAGGATTATTTTTTTTAGTTCCATCCATTTGCCTTCAAATTTCCTGGTGTCCTTATTTTTAACAGCTGAGTAATACTCTATTGTGTAAATGTACCACATTTTCTTTATCCATTCCTCAGTTGAGAGACATCTAGGTTGTTTCTAGGTTCTGGCTATTACAAAGAAAGCTGCTATGAACATAGTTGAGGAAGTGTCCTTGTGGTATGATTTAGCATCCTTTGGGTGTATGCCCAAGAGCAGTATAGCTGGGTCTTGTGGTAGGTGGATTCCCAGTTTTCTGAGGAACCGCCACACTGACTTCCAAAGTGGTGTACAAGTTTGCACTCCCACCAGCAATGGAGGAGTGTTCCCCTTGCTCTACATCCTCTCCAGCATGAGCTGTCACCTGTGTTTTTGATCTTAGCCATTCTGACAGGTGTAATATGGAATCTCAGAGTCATTTTGATTTGCATTTCGCTGATGGCTAACAATATTGAACATCTCCTTAAGTGTTTCCTGGCCATTTGAGATTCTTCTGTTGAGAGTTTTCCATTTAGATCTGTACCCCATTTTAATTGAGCTATTTTGCTTGTTGATGTCTAGTTTCTTTAGTTCTTTATATATTTTGGTTATTGGTCCTCTATCAGATGTGGAGTTGGAGAAAATCTTTACCCATTCTGTAGGCTTCCATTTTGTCCTATTGGTGTGTCCTTTGCCTTACAGAAACTTTTCAATTTCATGAGGTCCCATTTATTGTCTGTCTTAGTGCCCAGGCTATTGGTGTTCTGTTCATGAAGGTGTCTCCTGTGCCAATGAGTTCGAGATTATTTCCCATTTTCTCTTCTATCAGGTTCAGTGTATCTGGATTATGTTTAGGTCTTTGATCCACTTGGACTTGAGTTTTGTGCAGAGTGATAGATATGGATCAGCTTGCTTTCTTCTAAATGCTGACATCCAGATAGACCAGCATCATTTGTTGAAGATACTTTCTTTTTTCCATTGTGTAATTTTGGCTTCTTTGTCAAAATCAGGTGTCCACGGGTGTGTGGATTTACACCTGGGTCTTCAATTCAATTCCATTGATCCACCATGCCAATTCCATGCAGTTTTTATTATTATACTTCTGTAGTAGAGCTTGAAATCAGAATCATCATACTGGGTCACCTTGACCAACCTTAATACATGGGAAGGTGCTTAGTCTTACTGTAACTTAATATGCTGTGTTTTATTGATACTCATAGGAGGCCTACTCCTTCCTGAACAAAAACAAGGAGGAATGGATTGGGGGATAGGAACGAGGGGAGGGGATGGTGGGAGGAGAAGAGGGAGGGAAAGAGGGAGGGGAAGAGGAAGGGGATGCTGCAGCCGGGATGCAAAATAAATGATTAACTTTATTTAAAAATGTTAACAGTGTCAGTAATATTAAACACAACTGTCTCTTTTTATTGTAGATTAACATACCCTAAGTCATATTAATAATTTTTATAAACTACTGGGTACAATAAAATACAATTATTTGTTACCACTTCATGCCCACTGAGCTTCTTGTGGATGTAAGATACTTTGCCCACAGTTTATTGGGAAGCACAAGCTTGAGAATTAGCAGAGACTATGGACATGGCTCAATCAACAATATGTTTGTTGTGCTAGCGTGAGGGCCTGAATCTGGGTCCTTAGCACCCATGTGAAAACTGTCTGCAGCATAGACCTGCCATCCTAGTGCTGGAGAACTGGAGACAGGAATACCATGGGGGAATCTCTGTCCAGCCAATCCAGGCAATCTGTGAGCCTCAAATTCAGTGAGAGGCCCTGTCTCAACACAGTAAGTAGAATCAATTGAGAAAGACACCGAACATTGGTGTTCCACATACACACATATACACATTCACCTGTACACACACACAAAAACACATATATTCATACAACACACACACACACACACACACACACACACACACACATACATGCAACAGAAATAAGGCCCCACTACTCCTTGGATACTCTGAAGTGTTCAGTGTGTTCTTCTAGCACATTGACCTGCACCTGCTTTTTGTTTTGTAGATGTGAGTGCCTCAATATTAAGAGTCCACATGGCAACCATATTCTGTCCTTTGAACCTAATTTCTCATTTCTTCCATGTGTCCAGATAGACAAGGGTTGGGTTAGGTCACATGTCTGATACATAATTGGCAAGCCTCAGTCTTTCTCCAGCCACCAAAAACATTAACCTCATCCTCTTGTCCCACCAATCATATGAGCATTCTTGAATCAACTCCATGCTTGTTCATTATAGAAGGGAAAAATACAAGCAAACACTGTTTGAAATTCTTTCTCTGACAAGGCCCTCTGTTTGAAAATTCTCTGAGTATATCTCTGTTGTCATCTCACGAGCTGTGGCTTCTCCTCTCCTGCAGAGGAAAGCTGACGTCTCACCAAGGAGAGCCACTGTACTCACAGGTCCCATAAATATCTCCCCTAGATCCTACATGACAAACTGCCCTCTGATTGGCAAAGCGGATATGATTTAGTGCAAGGGGAGAGCAGAGAGGTTTTGATGAGGAGGGACTAAGCCTCACAGATTATTCCATCTGTCCATGTGTAATCCCGTTCCCCAATACCTGGAACTGCAAAACTGGTAGAAGCCAATAAGGATGATTCCCTGTCCTTGAGGGTTTTTGTTTTTTGTTTTTTTAACTGTGATTTAATAGGGGGTAAACGAAATTTTGCTCACCCAAAGCAAATGAGTTTGCAAAATGTCTAACAGGAACAGGGTTCTTACACAATCACAACTGGTATTTTAGACCACAATTTGAAGAGAAAAATGAAATGTGCAAATAGAGTACACACAGGATTTTCATCGTGTGTTCCCGTTGCATGTGACTCTCCTGACTCACGCTCTACTTTAGTTTTGATTCTTGGGAAGCACTTTCTCTATACTGTGATCTTTAAAAAGTTTAATAACAATTTTCCATTTGGAACCATTAGTTGTCTTTCCACAAAACTGGGTTGCTGGACAAGGTGGAGAAGGAAGAGATTATTCCTGGATCAAATGAGACCAGAGTGAGTGAAGTCCTCAGCCTTGATGGGCATCATTCAGCTCCTAGACAATCAAAAGGGTGAGTGGCTTATTCTTCTTGCTCTTCCAAATTCATGTTTACTTAAATTGGGGGAAATAAGCAGGTAAGGATGAAAAACAAAGGAAGGTGATCAACAGCTTTGGGGCCCATACAGAAGAGGGGGTACAGCCTTCCACTAACTTATCTAATGGTAGGAGGCCCTTGGCTTATAGCCCAACTCCGTGACCAAATCAATTTACCCTTTAACAAATACCTACCACACACCTGCTCCCTCCCAGTTACCTTCATGGAAGCATGGCTTAGGCCACTGTGCACATCATGGTACATAGTAAATGTTCATCATTTTGAAAGTACTGAGCTGCTATTGCCCCAGGTGAAGGGCTTTGTAGCTTGGCTCCCGACTCAGGTGTGGGCAGCTGTGTCTGGTGCTCAGCTGAGGTCCTTCTCTTTCAAGAGCAGAGAGGTTGAGCTTCCATCCTGGGCTCTGGGACCCTGAGGTTTCCATGGAGTGCTGTGTGTTTATTGCCTCTTAAGTTACCAGGACTGAAGACCAATGGGGAAAGAATCCAAGGCCCTCATGGCCAGCGCCACCACACTGGGGGAGGTAGACTGCCACAGGCCAGAGCTGCCACCCAGCTGATTCAACCGCCACTCAGACTGTCCTCAGAGGTTAGTGGCTGGAGACATGAAGTTACAGGAAACCTTTCGGCCTCTGCTGGTTATTTATAGAGGCGTTTATAGGATTCTTCCACAACTTGAGGGAGGAAAATCCAACAAATGTCACCTCCTATTATCACGGCATCTGAGTTCTACTCTGAAAATAGAAATTGGAACCTGCCCCATTAACCAGTCAACTGATCCAGAGGTATATTTATATTTTAACAATACTATTACATGTTTATTTTGTTTAATTCTTTCAAATTTTACCTCCTGGAGAATTTTCCCTGATTAAGCCCACCCTCATCTGTATAGCCTTTGGATGCCTCTCTACTCTGAGCTAATGATTTAGGAATGGACATTAGGAATGGACAGTGAATTAGGAATGGACAAACTTACTCATAGTTTTCTCTTTATTATTGTTTCCCTTGCTGCACCTTTCACAAGTATGCATACTGAACTTGCTATGTGCCAGGCATGTTCTGATTTTTAATTCTTACTGCAGCCCAAGGTGAACATACCATTCTTGGCTCCATTTTAAAGATGGGAACACAAGATTGTTGATAAGCCATCCATGCTGTCCATGCATGGCTTGGCTTCTTTGTATATTCCTTTTCATTCACTTTGTGAATAATAAAAACCACACCCAATCCAAGAATTAGAACAAAGCTGACTGTGATGCTTACATACATTATCTCATTGCCCTGTTATATGACCCATAGATGCAGAATTTTGTATTATGTTTTCTTTCTGGTTTTAAAAATAATGTCAACACATATACACCTGTAATCATAGCTGTCACTTTGTCTCTTTAGCAGGCTCTGAATGTCACTAAAACCATCATGTGGTGTTCAGCTCAGAATTTTCTGTCACTCACAATCATGTTATTGGACATAGCTATAATTAATTTCATAGCTGCGATATACCCCAGCATGTACAATTTATACCTATTTTCCTGTTGAGAGGTATACCCTACCTGCTGTTGTTAATAAAGTGCTACTATGTGCATTGTTTGACTGTGTGTGTGTTCCTGCGTGTACATGGGCATGCGTGTGGATGTGCGTTTAGAAGCTAGAAGACAATCTCTGATGTCATTCCTAAGGAGCTGTTCATCTTGTTTATTGAGTTCTCACTAGCCTGGAACTTGCCAAGTAGGCCAGCTGGCTGGCCAGCAAGCCCCAGGGATTTACTTGTCTCTGAGTCCCCAGTGTAGGGATTACGAGCACACGCCACCACTCAGGCTTTTTAAATGTGGGTTCTGAGGATTAAAGGCAGGTGCTCATGTTGGCAAGGTCAGCACTTCTCCGACTGACCTGTCTCCCTGGTGCCTGATGCAGACATCTCTAAGTGTACCTCTGAGTACACCAAATTAAGAACTTTCTTTTGTGTATGCTTCTAGAAAACTGTCAGGTTTGGGGGTATGTTATTTAAAAGGTTATGCCAAGTTGATTCTCACATGATTTACCAGCTTATATCAGCAATAAATTAGAACTCTTTCATGTAAATGCTCCTGGTTTGGGTGTAATTAAAACTTTTAACTCTTGTCAAGAAATTGAATATAAAATTATACATAAGTGTTGCTGACTGCTGGTATATGTTCCTGTAAGGCCAGATATGCATATGACAATGCATGGCTCTCTAAATGTTAGCTATCTATCTATCTATCTATCTATCTATCTATCTATCTATCTATCCATCTACGTGTCTATCTATCTATCTATCTATCTGTCTGTCTGTCTATCATCTGTCATCTATCATTTATCTATCATCTATCTGTCATCTATATATTTATCTACCTATCATCTATTCATTTATCTATCTATCTATCATCTATCTATCTGTCTGTCTGTCTATCATCTGTCATCTATCATTTATCTATCATCTATCTGTCATCTATATATTTATCTACCTATCATCCATCCATCTATCATCTATCTATCTGTTTATCTATCTATCTATCTATCTATCTATCTATCTATCTATCTATCTATCATCTCCCTCCCCTACCTCTTTCTCGCCCCCTTTTCCAAGTTGCATAATCTTTTCTCAGCATTTCATAGGACTCTTCACATATTCTTAGTAGTAAACCTTTGTCAGTTTTATGTTACAGATGATGTTTTTACCTTCTTTGAGAATTCTTCTCATAAAGGATTTCTTAGCTTTAACAAAGTCAAAATCACAGATCTTTTCTTTTATGGTTTGTACATTTTGTGCCTGTTTCACAAACCCGTCCCTACCCAGCTTCGGAAAGATATCCACCTATATTTTTCTCCTAAGTGTTTTAAAGTTTGCTTCTGACATTTAAGTCCCTAATCCATCTGGAGTTGATTTTGGGTATGGTGTAAGGGTGGGATCCAGATTCATTTTTTTTTCCAAATAGACAACCAATTTTTCCAGCTCCTTTTATTGAATAATCGCTCTTTTCTCCACTGAAATGCCAGGCCACCTCTGCCCTTATTAAAGCTCCACATATGCAAGAGGCTATTTCTAGAATATTCTACTCTACTAGTTCTTTGATGTACACCTGCAATGTCAGGCTTTTAGTAACGATGCAACAGTTACAAGCAGAGAATTTATCATTTATAACCAGGGGGATTCAAGCATGTCACCTGACCATTTCGTTCAGTTTTCTGTATAACACATGGTAACAATAAACTCCCTTACAAGGGAGCCATAAACATTAAGGGATATCTGTGAAGATGTTTGTTAAGAAGCCTATGAAATTTGAGCAAATCCTCTATAGTGTTATTTGTTTGATAAATGTTCTCAGTGTGTGTTTCTGTTTTATTTTAGAAACCTTTCTGTTGTTAGGAATGCAAGCTTGACTTGGGCTGGCTTTTAAAATAATGTTTAATGTCCCGAGTAACTTAAACATGCCCATGGTAGAGCCTGTCATAGAGGAGGCTTTGAAATAGCCTCTCCCTGAAGACTAGAAAAAAAGCACTTTCCCATCTCTCTGCTCAGGCTCTCCAGGCTTTCTTCTCTTGAGGCTTTCTGATCCCAATGTGACTGTCAGCAGAGTCAAGAGCTCTGTGGGTCCCATATCACACTCAGTGTGGACATAGGTTCTTCCAGTGCATCTAAAGAAAAGGAAGAAAACATCTTCCCCAGATGTGTGGGCCAAAATTCTCTGTCTTATGGACCTTGTTTAGGACACCTGCTTGGTCTCCATTTATGGGATGACAAGATAAAGCTAAAGGGTGACACCCACTTCCTCTGAAGCACAGGAACTGTGAGCAGAGGTCTGAAGAACCTAGTTCCTGTTCCTAAGGAAGCAAAGAGTCAGTACTTCAAGGGGACATTCCTAGTAAGAAGTTATTCTATTTTAAGAAGTTTAGACAAAATCACATATTTATAAAGGTCACAGGTTATGTACTGCAGAGAGCACACAGTGGGCATGGCAACAGCTCTTACCACCCTCAGCCATTCCTAGAAGGATCTTCACTTAGAACTATTTGCACTGGTGTAGATGTAACCATCTTGTTAAATAAGAAACACAGAGCCAATGCAAAGATGAAAGCCCAAGAGGTCAGAGCAATAGCTAAGAGCTAAAAACCTT